AAATCACAGTGATACTCATTATGTACATAAAAAAAAAATCTAGTGACCCTTAGCCTAGTTAAATCAGCTTTCATTGTAGTTTTTTCTAATCATTAACTTATTTATCCACTGTGTAGGGACCTTTCTACTAAAGCGGGCCAGATCCCACCTTAACTTCTTGACCCCCTCTCTCTCTTCTTTTTTTTTTTTGTAGCGGAAGATTTTTAAAGGATTGATGAGCAAAGAGAAAAAGCACACCTCCAGAACGGGACGCGGGCAGATCCAAGGGCGGGTAGCAGCCTCTGTCTTTGTTTGGCCCCCTGTCTTACACCCTCACTTAGAGATGGGCCTTTGATTGATTGACAGCTCTTGCCTCTGGAGTGCTTATTCATGTCTGTCTCCTTTCGTACATGTCCTTACCCATGATGCACACAGAATAACCCATGGCAGGGGGGCTAAACCACAATGCCAATTATATTACAATGAGCACTGGGTCATGTCCAGTTAGGTCCTGACCGCTTCTTAGTTTCATGCAATATTAGGTTCTGAAAGGGAATTGGAATTTAAAAGATTACCCAGCTCTTGATAGTGTTTAAAGCTTTAAATTTCATTAAAAATGTTTCATTTTCTTTTATATAAGTGGAGACTAGCAAAAATAATTTTGAAAAATCATTTCTGAAAGATTGTCAGGTACTCATTTCAAGAAAATAGTATTAGATGATTACACTGCTTTAACTAATCAATTATATAAATCAATTTCTTATATACACTGGGGAAATTTCTATTTAAGGGACTATTGTAATGATTCCTTTTGCAATGCAGAGGAAGTTTCATACCTTGGTTCCTAAGTTCACGCCAGAGGAACTGTAAGGAAGACACGGCAGTGTCTTGTGTTGAGGGAAGGGAAGGAGCTGACTTTAAATGCAGAATAATGACACTATATGCACATCATTTTCTAATAGGACACAACATGCAAAAGTCTCAAATGACCATCAATCACGTATTGGCTGATGTGTTCCCAATGCTAATTTAGGGGAACACGGGACACGGGATGTATAAATATGGCCACTTATTCAAAGAGCTTATAAAAAATAACCTAGTCGGAGAAATACATGTAATAATGAATGTGCCAAAGAAATCAAGGAGCTGTAACAATTTATGAAAGTTCCCTAATTAAAGGTAGAGAGAGTGGGGAGAGACAGTGACTTCTAAAAGGTGAGGTGCTGTTGCCACTTGAAGCTCAGTAACAAAGAAAAAGCATCCTTAAAATTGTAAAATAGGTCAGTGTGGTCCGACTGGGCATTGTCCTATTGTGAACAAGTGACAACTCTACTTAACTGAACGTTTACTTCACTCTTGACCATCTAGGTCCAAAACAGCCATCGCTTAGAAGAGCATATTCTGGTCATCTCTGCTACTTCTTTTTGGCTGTTTATAATTATGCCTCATCCTAAATGTCACTGGCCACCTCACTGTTCAGGCTACTATCATCTCTTGCCTGGGTAATAGCAATGGCCTCCTCACTGGTAACTCTGTCTCTCGTCCTGCCACACTCCTAACGCTGCCAGTGTTCTTTCAAAAACACAAATCTTATGTCACTTCCCAGCTTAAAACTTTCTATAAAGGCATGTAGAATAATGTTGAAATCTCTTACAAAGACTCACAAGGCACTTCGCGATCTGGCTTCTACTGACATCTTGCCTGGAAAACTTCTTCTCTTCCTAACTCCTTTCTATTCCTCTGTCAGGTTTTAGTTTAGCAGCTTCTTCCAGGAAGCCTTCCTTGACACCTCAGGTCTTACTGATAGCGGGTGCTCCTCTTATGTATGTAAAGGACAATTTCAGTTTAAGCACTAGTGCAGTGACTCCTTTTACACATTGCACCTATACTTCCTAACCGTTTTTTTGTTTGCTGACCTGATTCTTCCTCTGAGAGCCCACCAAGGACAGTAACCACATCTTTTCATTTTATTCTTAATATAGTGAACATATCATTTTATCCCTATTGCCCAGCATAGTGCTTAAATATAGTTTGTTTAATAACTATTTGTTAGATGAATGGTTCAATGTTGTAAAACATATAAATAAAGCAACACACACAACTTAGAGAAGCTGATGTTTTGGATTAGCTACACAACTGCTCCTTTCTACTGATAACTGAGGTGACTGGCACTTACTTTCTAGGGTGATCTCACAGTCTTTATGGTCTGTGACTTTCGTTCATTTATTTCTTCTGCAGATCCTGAGATCCTATTGTGTACCAGATACTGTGCTAGGGACAGGGGACACAAAAGGGGATGGAAAGGGTCCTTTCCTTAAAGAGGCAGTCTAGTAGGAGGAAAGAGTTATATAAACAAATAAGCGCAATCAAAAACAGGGAAGGGGAGAGGGGAGAGGCAGGGAGGGGGGATGTGAGGAGGAGGGGAGAGAAAGGAAAAGAGAGGAAAGGAAGGGGGAGGGAGGGGAGACAGCGAACCTATCAGTGCAGTGATGCAACTATCTATGACGCAACTACCTGTGTGAGTCTCACAGGAGAGCTTGGTCAGTGGTGCCTGGGGTGTTAGGAGAAGAGGAAAGGCTCTATAG